CCCTGCCCGCGGCGCGTCCTCTCTGCCGCGGCGGTAACGGGAACCGCTCACCGGGAGACAGAGGGGCGTAATTTCTTTCCGCTGAAAGGAACGGCCGTAACACTGAAAACAACCCGCAGCTCATTTTCACAGAACTGTGCGAGCAAGGATGAGACCTTGTCTCTCCCGTGAAGTATGTGGGGGGAAATTCCTCTGCTGGAGATCCTGCTCATTCTGAGCTCCCATCACCGGAGTCCTCAGCTTTGAAACTCCAGCATGCTTGAGACCCCAGCAGAAGGGTTTAGCACCTTCATTTCTAGTACCTGAGCTTAACTGGCCCTAAGCCCAGCTTAACCTAACGCTAGCGCCTTGGTACCACTCCTCTGCTTCCCTGCAGCCTTGCCGCACGCAGCTCCCTGGGCTCTCCTGCCTCCAGGGATGCCGTGGAGCCCGACAACGGTCCTCCCAAAGAGGAGTCGTTAGCCTAACCAGAAAAATCATTTCTTACTAAAGAAAATCCCCATGACGTGCGGCATAACGTGCCAACCAGCCCTTCCTCGGCAGCACCCGCGGGACAGAGGGAGCCGTCTCAAACCCGAATGGCCCCGCAGATTGAGCACCGCTGGCTTTAGCCACCGGCTCATCGTGCTGACAGTGATTTGTGGCTGTGCCCACCGTGCAGAAGCTGTCACAAAAGGTGGTCCCCGAGCTCCCGCGCTCTCTTACCTCTATGCCTGTTGGTCGTCTTGTCGAACATAAGCATGGCGTCCTCTACCTGCAAGACAGAAGAGGGGAGACGCGTGCTTTAACACAGCGGCTGCGTGGTTTGCAAACACACAACAGACAACCCGGGAAGGGGAGGCGAAGGCAGGAGCAGCCTCAACTCGGGCACGAACGTCAGATCTCCTTGCTTTGGCTCAGCCTCGGCTGCTCCTGTTGGAAATCTGCTGCTTTCAACCCCCATCCTAGCTGACATTTGCTCCTAAAACAGAAAAGTGAACGTTCAAAGTTCTGCTGCCCTAAAAAGCCAAATATCTAAGGAGCTCTTCCACCTCCCGTCGGTCCCTGTCTGTGCCTCATCTCAGCCTTTTTCCCTTTTGTAGGGAGATAAGGAAGAGCCAGGAGAGGAATCACGGATGCAAACCAAGCCCATGGCTTCTCCAAATTAGAGCCACCGCCTTGGCTGAGAGTGAGGAGGTTTCAAGAAGCACGAGCAGGGTAAAATCTGGTCAGCCAAGAAAGGGATTCAGAGGCTTTCAAAAGGCCTTTTCAGAACCTGGAGGAAAGAGGGGAGAGGGAGGAGGGAGAAAGTTTAATTCGCATCAGGCTTGGCATTTCCACTTCAGAAGAGAGATGACTGATGAAACGTATTGAAGTGCAACCAAATTGCTTTCAACTTTCATTACTATTTGCATGATTTATTCCACCTCCATTTAATCTGTGCAGCCACACCTAAAATTTGACGCTTATTTTTGAAGGATGTTGTGCTGGGGTTTATTTTCCAGCATTATCGCCTTTATAAAGCCTTGCTCGGCGGCTGCGGGAGCCGGGGCGGGTCGGCCCCGCGTGCTGCGGGAAAGGGCCCGGGCAATCTTTCTGCAAAGAAATTACAGGCTGGCTGCTCCCCGTTTCAAACTAGGGGCTGATGAAAACCTGTGTCACCGCCACATTGCAGAAGATGCTGGGGGAAGGGAGAAGATCTTTAAAAAAAAGGTTTTATTCTTTAAAGGACTCCAGTGGTCATCTGTGGGGTGGGGTTTTTTAGCTGGGGGGGGGGGGTTTAGGTTTTTTCCCCCCAGTAATTCTTACGATACTTCCACGTTCTTATAAACTGGCTTTCTCTAAACCATTTATTTTAGGCAAGCGCCGTATTACAATGCGGTTAGAGGCTCTCTCCACCTTACCCCGTGCCACCAAAGGGTCTGCCTTTCACCCCAACTGCCCGGGCCCTCTTCCTTGCTGGCAGCACGCCTGTGCCACAGCCCCAGCCAGGGAACGGCTCCGGCGCAGAGCGACCCCCACTTTCTCCTCCAGGTCAGTTTTAGGTCAGATGGGTTCCCCGGCACGGCCGAACCGCCGCAAGGGCCGGGCTGCTGCAGAGGGCGGAGGAGCAGCACCTCGCGGGAAGGTGGGACCGCTGCCGGGAGCTGCGCCAGCTTCTGCTGCCTTATCCGGATCCGGGAATTACGGCAGGATTTGAAAGCTCCCGCCTGCACAGAATTCTCGGTTCCGGCAGTGGAGTTTGACTGTAGCCCCCTTACGCAGGGGACACCCACCCAGCCCGCTGCGCAGTTACAATCTCAGTCTTGGCTGGGCAGAGACACATTTTGGGAAGGTGGAAAAAACACAGCTTGAACCTCTCTTAAGTACGGGACTGAAAGATGCTCCCGGAGACAGTAACAAAACACAGTGCAGCAAAACCTTATACGATGCCTGAACTCATCTAAAAACCTGCCTCTGGTTAACAACTTGTTCTTAACTTTTTCAGCCAAAGTGGTCTGCAAAATGCGTTAGCAATGCCTGAGACGGCGGGGAACAGCACGCCTGCCCGACACCCCTCTTGAACGAGACCTAAAGATGCTGATGCACCGAAAAATCCAAACCACATTAAGCAGAGAGCCATTTGTCCTGCTGTCTGTCTTCACTCCAAAGGAAGAAAACCCGCAGGTACGAGCACTACCAGGAGGCAGATAAGGACAGAGCTGCCCTTCATCCGACCACCGCCGCTTATCTCTGCTCCAGGGTTCCGTTTACGCAGCAATCTTCATTTTTCATTCTCACAGGTCTTGGCCTCGCTGGAACCAAAAATCACATGGTGCACCTAACGCTGTTTCCTAGAGCATCGTGGCTTCCTCAGCCCACGCGCCTGTGCCCACCACCCCTTTCTCCCCACCCCAACCGCTGCTGTGGAAGTTTTAATGTGCAACTCTTCCAGTGTGATCCTCCGCCTCGAGGCCCGTACCAGAGCCCAGAGGGGTCTCGGGCGCGCTGCACAGCCCCCACCAGCCCAGGAGGTCCTCGGTCCCCCCACCCAGATGGAGGCTGCTGCTGCGCACAGGCTCTCCCGGCTGGATCCACGCGTTTCAAAATGACATGTCCTCCTGCAAGGACATTACTGGGGACTCTAAAAAGGCTGCTTGTATTGCTGTTAGGGGGAGGAGAGATGTCAGATGAGGCACAACACGGCTCTACCTTCGCTTTAGCACGGCCATGTCTCAGCCCCAAGTCCCCCAGCAGGCTGAAGCCTGAGCTGCAGGGTGCAAAACCCTCTCTCGGGCTCAGCTGGGGCCCACCATGGGTTTGAACCTCTTATGCAGGCTCATCCTGCTCCTCCCCGTGCTGCCGTGACAGAGGAGGGACAGGTCCTGGCAGGGGACCAGGCACTGGAGGGGCGGGGGGGCTCTGGGTCCGGTTCCTGGTCATACTGGGGGTCCGCAGCGGTGTTTGCCTCTCCCAGTGGTACAACGCGACACGTCGGCTCGCCCACCAGGTACGCGTCCTCTGGGCAAACAACGTTTTGTGCCATGCGTACCGCGGCCCCACTTGGCTGGAATGATGATCTTGGCAGAGATCTTTTTTATGCAAATAAATCCTTATTAGCAGTAACAAACGCAGCCTGCACGGGCGCATCCAGGAGATTTCCATGGTGCCGACTGGGACCCCGAAGAGCGCGGATGCCCTGGAGGTGGGGGCTGCATCCCTCCCCGCAGCCGTACCTCCTTTCGGGATCAGAACCAGGCACGCAGGTACCTACAAAAGGGTCAGCCCTGCCAGTTCTCATCTGAAAACCTGCGAGGGGGCAAGCGGCTCTGCAGCTGAGAGTCGGCCGCGGACCAAGCATGTCTGTAAGAAAAAATAATCAGTGGGGTGTTCTTTAAGCCAGCTGGTGCCCTTTCAACAATGTCTAATTGGTTATCTTTTCTCTTTCCTAAGGTCAGAACATTTTATCTCCGTCTCTGCCCTTTCTGAGTTTACCCCACCCCGCGTTATTTTTTAGGGCACGCATTGTGGCAGAAGAATAGCCTCTTTCCTCCATAGTCCAGGGACACAATGAGACTTCTTGAAACCTCCTGAATAGATAAAGTGCAATGGCAAAAGGAAAATTCTATTAACGCTTTGCAAAATAAAACATCTAAGAGCTGGTTAGACAAGCAAGAGAAGAAAATCAATACGGAGAGGGCAGCGTGCTTCGAAAAAACTTTTCACCAGTCGCAAAAAGGTGGTGAGGGTATGGGAGGGAGGGGGAGAAAGAAACTTATTAATGCAGAAAAACCCATCAATGGTATGGAAATCTGGCAGAACAGCAAGAACTGAAACTGGAAGAATTTGAATATACAAAGGGCTGAATAGAATGAGAGAACCACACTGCCTCACACACACAGCCTGTTTCTCACGGGTCTCTGGGAATCAAACACAAGCGGCTTGTTCAAGTTTTCATCAAGGAGGAATAAGGGACGCAGTCAAGGTAACCGGCAGTAAACCCTGCAGTAAGCAAATTGATCCCTATTTCAGGGGAAGGGAAAAAAAAAACCAAACCCCCTAACAACCAACCCACAGACGAATCTCAAGGAGGTTCAGGAGCTGTGACTGTCCAAAGTCGACCCCTCCTCCCAGGCGAGGCTCCGGTGCTCGCCCCGTATTTTGGAGCTGCTGGAGCAGCGCGTTTTCCAGGTCTCCGCTCAAAACGTGCAAGCTGGCACCATGCTCGCGAAGGAGAAGAAAGTTTTCTCCAGGGTCAGAAACAGAACTGGAAGAGGCAGTCGCCACCTCCAAGACCTGGCTGGGCACCCCCCAGGATGGGTCACCCAGCACGCGCCGTCAGCTGAACCCCGTTATCGGCCACGGGGCTCGCGCCCTCCCGCCAGCGCATTCCCTGGGCACGGCAAAAACCAGCAGAGCAGCAAAGAGCCAAATTCCACCAGTCCCGGCGTGAGCCGCCGAGCGGAGCGCCACGTCCCACCCAGCGCACACGGGGAGCAGCTGGCCGCCCCCAAATCCCCCCTCTCTCTTTGGATGTAGCATGGCTCAATATGGAGGCTTAAAGGAGCTGATTAATTCGAACTAATTACTGGCATCAAATGAGAGCGTATTACAAAATGCACACTTAGCACTTAAGGTAAATAATAAAAAAAAAGAAAGACTTGCCAGATAATACCAGTTACAAACGGACACTTAAGCCCGACAGACTTCTCCTCTGTCCCAGCATGCCCCCACATATATCCAATTTAGACCCAGTTTCTTATATAAAGCCTAACTAATGGGCTTTAGTTTATTTAACTTCTTTTTTTCAATCCACTTGGGGCTCTGAGAAAAGGAAGGGCCATACCACTTCTTTAATCACTGCCTGGAAGGAGGAATAGGGGAGAATAGGAGGAAAGAAAAAAACCTGGAGGAGCCAAAGGCTTTAATAATCCTAACAGTTCCCAGGGTTATTTAAAATATGCCCAACCAGTTCACAAAAGGCTCTGCAGAGATAAATGTATTTGATTTTCTTCCACTTTAATGGAGGCATACATTTAAAGCAACAAAACCAGGGTGACCTAAATAAAATGGCTATTAATTGTACGCGGAAAGGCTCTGAATTTAACGCAACCGATCTAGCCCAGCGACAGAACGCACGGCGTCCTCCGTTCATTCCTCCCGCTTCCCTCTCCAGGGTTTTCATGGGGCCGTCCTGAGCAGCCAGCGATGCCCAAACCCGGCGCCAGCCCATCGCCGCTCCCAGCCCAAGGCAAAGGCTGGAGCCTCTGCGAAGCCCCGCGGCGGCTCAGCAAG